ACTGTCCATTACCCACCACCACTATCCATTACCCACCACCACTATCCATTACCCACCACCACTGTCCATTACCCACCACCACTATCCATTACCCACCACCACTGTCCATTACCCACCACCACTATCCATTACCCACCACCACTGTCCATTACCCACCCCCACTGTCCATTACCCACCCCCACTGTCCATTACCCACCACCACTGTCCATTACCCACCACCACTGTCAGGGGAAGGTAAGAGGGAGTAGTGGTAAAGAGGGTGGGGGTGATAGGTGTAAAGGGGTAAGTGCAGTGAGGTAAGGGTAATTAGGGGATGAAGATTGAGGTAAGGAAGAAGGTAAGGAAGGAGTGAGGGAGGGAGGCAAGGGGGGAGGAGGGTCCAGGGGAAAGAGTGCCAGCCACTTGGCACTGGTGACACCTTGTTATGTGTGTGTGTGAGTGTGTGTGTGTGTGTGTGTGTGTGTGTGTGTGTGTGTGTGTGTGTGTGTGTGTGTGTGTGTGTGTGTGTGTGTGTGTGTGTGTGTGCACTCACCTATTTGTGTCTGCAGGATCGAGCATTGACTCTTGGATCCCGCCTTTCTAGCCATCGGTTGTTTACAGCAATGACTATGGTCCTATTTCCCTATCATACCTGGTTTTAAAAGTATGAATAGTATTTGCTTCCACAACCTGTTCCCCAAGTGCATTCCATTTTTCCACTACTCTCACGCTAAAAGAAAACTTTCTAACATCTCTGTGACTCATTTGAGTTTCCAGTTTCCACCCATGTCCCCTCGTTCTGTTATTATTACGCGTGAACATTTCATCTATGTCCACTCTGTCAATCCCCCTGAGTATTTTATATGTTTCTATAATATCCCCTTCTCCCTTCTTTTTTCTAGTGTCGTAAGGCTCAGTTCCTTCTGGCACTCTTCATACCCCATCCCTTGTAACTCTGGGACGAGTCTCGTTGCAAACTTTTGAACCTTTTCCAGTTTTTTTATGTGTTTCTTCAGATGGGGACTCCATGATGAGGCGGCATATTTTAAGACTGGCCTCACGTAGGCAGTGTAAAGCGCCCTAAAAGCCTCCTCACTTAAGTTTCTGAATGATGTTCTAACTTTTGCCAGTGTAGAGTACGCTGCTGTTGTTATCCTATTTATATGTGCCTGACAGCTGGGTGGACAGCGCTTCGGATTCGTAGTCCTGAGGTTCCAGGTTCGATCCCTTGTGGGGTGTGTAACAAAAAGGAGACCTGGTCGAGGACCTGGCCGCGGGGATGCTAAGCCCCGAAATCCTCTCAAGATAGCCTCAAGATAGCCTCAGGAGTTAGATTAGGTGTTACGTCCACCCCCAGGTCTCTTTCTCGCGTCGTCACAGGTAGGCAGTTCCGCTTCATTGTGTACTGTCCCTTTGGTCTCCTATCTCTTAGTCCCATTTCCATAACTTTACATTTGCTCGTGATGAACTCCAGTAGCCATTTCTCTGACCATCTCTGCAACCTGTTCAAGTCCTCTTGGAGGATCCTGCAATTCTCATCTGTCACAACTCTTCTCATCAACTTTGCGTCATCCGCGAACATCGACATGTAGGACTTTACGCCTGTAAACATGTCGTTAACCTATATTAGAAATAGAATTGGTCCCAGCACCGATCCTTGAGGTACTCCACTCGTTACTGTTCGCCTGTCTGACTTTTTTGCCCCTTACCGTAACTCTCTAGCTCCTTCCTGTTAGGTAGTTCCTTACCCATGCTAGGGCCTTTCCCCCCACCCCCGCCTGCCTCTCTAGTTTGAATAGCAGTCTCATGTGCGGTACTGTATCAAAGGCTTTTTGGCAGTCCAGAAATATACAGTCTGCCCAATCTTCTCTGTCCTGTCTTATCCTTGTTATTTTATCATAGAATTCCGAAAGGTTTGTTAGGCAAGATTTCCCTTTCCAGAACCCAAGTTGATGTTTGTTTACAAACCTAACGTTCTCCAGATGTGCAACCAGTCTTAGCCTAATTATTCTTTCCAGTATTTTACAGGGGATGCTTGTCAGTGATACAGGTCTATAGTTAAGTGCCTCCTCCCTATCACCTTTCTTGAAAATCGGTACGACATTTGCCTTCTTCCAGCAACTGGGCAATTCTCCCGACATAAGTGACTCATTAAAGATCATTGCCAGAGGCACGCTGAGGGCCTGCGCTGCCTCTTTTAGTATCCACGGTGATACTTTGTCTGCTCCAACCGCTTTAGTTGAATCCAGTGTTGTCAACTGTTTCATTACCTCCTCTGCTGTCACCTCTATATCTGATAGTCTTTCATCTAGGGCAATCTCTTCCAACAATGGGAGCTGCTAAGGCTCGGTTGTGAACACTCCATGGAAACTGGCATTCAGTGCCTCGCAGATTTCCTTGTCACTTTCAGTATATGCCCCCTCTGTCTTCCTTAGTCTTGTCACTTGGTCGTTCACCGACATTTTTCTTCTTATATGGCTGTGTAGTAACTTAGGTTGCTTTTAAGCTTTGATCGCAATATCGTTCTCATAATTTCTTTCCGATGCTCTTCTTATGTGTATACTCCTACCTTGATGTGTACACTCCCACCTTGACCTGTATACCTCCACCTTGACGTGTATACCCCCACCTTGACGTGTATACCTCCACCTTGACGTGTATACCCCCACCTTGATGTGCATACCTCCACCTTGACGTGTATACCTCCACCTTGATGTGCATACCTCCACTTTGACGTGTATACCTTCCATCTTGACGTGTATACCCACACCTTGACGTGTATACCTCCACCTTGACGTGTATACATACACCTTGACGTGTATACCCCACCTTGACGTGTATACCCCCACCTTGATGTGTATACCTCCACCTTGATGTGTATACCCCCTTGATGTGTATACCTCCACCTTGACGTGTATACCCCCACCTTGACGTGTATACCCCCACCTTGACGTGTATACCCCCATCTTGACGTGTATACCCCACCTTGACGTGTATACCTCCACCTTGACGTGTATACCTCCACCTTGACGTGTATACCCCCACCTTGACGTGTATACCCCACCTTGATGTGTTTACCTCCACCTTGGCGTGTATACCTCCACCTTGATGTGTATACCTCCACCTTGGCGTGTATACCTCCACCTTGATGTGTATACCTCCACCTTGACGTGTATACCCCAACCTTGACGTGTATGCCTCACCTTGACGTGTATACCCCCACCTTGACGTGTATACCCCCACCTTGACGAGTATACCTTCACCTTGATGTGTATACCTCCACCTTGATGTGTATACCCCCACCTTGACGTGTATACCTCCACCTTGCGGTGTATACCCCAACCTTGACGTGTATGCCTCACCTTGACGTGTATACCCCCACCTTGACGTGTATACCCCCACCTTGACGAGTATACCTTCACCTTGACGAGTATACCTCCACCGTGATGTGTATACCTCCACCTTGATGTGTATACCTCCACCTTGACGAGTATACCTTCACCTTGACGTGTATACCCCCACCTTGATGTGTTTACCTCCACCTTGACGTGTATACCCCCACCTTGACGTGTATACCCCCACCTTGACGAGTATATCTTCACCTTGATGTGTATACCTCCACCTTGACGTGTATACCTCCACCTTGATGTGTATACCCTCACCTTGACGTGTATACCTCCACCTTGATGTGTATACCTCCACCTTGACGAGTATACCTTCACCTTGACGTGTTTACCTCCACCTTGACGTATATACCTCCACCTTGATGTGTATACCTCCACCTTGACGAGTATACCTTCACCTTGATGTGTTTACCCCCACCTTGACGTATATACCTCCACCTTGATGTGTATACCTCCACCTTGACGAGTATACCTTCACCTTGACGTGTTTACCCCCACCTTGACGTATATACCTCCACCTTGATGTGTATACCTCCACCCTGACGTGTATACCCCCACCTTGACGTGTATACCCCACCTTGATGTGTATACCCCCACCTTGACGTGTATACCCCACCTTGATGTGTATACCTCCACCTTGACGTGTATACCCCCACCTTGACGTGTATACCTCCACCTTGACGTGTATACCCCCACCTTGACATGTATACCCCCACCTTGACGTGTATACCTCCACCTTGACGTGTATACCCCCACCTTGACGTGTATACCTCCACCTTGACGTGTATACCCCCACCTTGACGTGTATACCCCCACCTTGACGTGTATACCTCCACCTTGACGTGTATACCTCCACCTTGACGTGTATACCCCCACCTTGACGTGTATACCCTCCACCTTGACGTGTATACCCTCCACCTTGACGTGTATACCCTCCACTTTGACGTGTATACCCCACCTTGACGTGTATACCCCCACCTTGACGTGTATACCCTCCACCTTGACGTGTATACCTCCACCTTGACGTGTATACCCCCATCTTGACGTGTATACCCCCATCTTGACGTGTATACCCTCCACCTTGACGTGTATACCCTCCACTTTGACGTGTATACCCTCCACTTTGACGTGTATACCCCATCTTGACGTGTATACCCCCACCTTGACGTGTATACCTCCACCTTGACGTGTATACCTCCACCTTGACGTGTATACCTCCACCTTGACGTGTATACCTCCACCTTGACGTGTATACCTCCACCTTGACGTGTATACCCCCACCTTAACGCGCGTTTTGACGTATACTGTATATACTGCCAAAAAATCGTCGTACTAGAAAATGGAAGCAGGTCGCGAAATTGACTTGCTGTCCCGTTTTCTGTTTTGCGTCCTCTGGTAGGTTAGGATAAGGGGTAGCTCTAAGCGTGTACACAGAGAGTGTACACAGTGTACACATAGTTTACAGAGAGTGTACACAGAGAGTGAACACAGTGAACACAGAGAGTGTACACAGAGAGTAAACACAGAGGAGACATAAACACACCAGCGGCTGGAGGTGACCCAGAACACCTGCACTAAACACCTGTGATGCAACAGAGGCTGCAGGAGAATACTCACCCCGGTCTGGTAGAAGACCCGGTAGGCGGGTGGGTGGAGGTCGCGGGCGGGTGGGTGGAGGTCGCGGGCGTGGGCGAGGAGGTCGCGGGCGTGCGCCAGGAGAGGTTCCAGGGGGTTGGGTGGAGGTACTCTGGATGAATGAGCGTACTCCGCTCCCAGGAGCGCCACAGTCCACAACCGCAGTAACACGTCCCAAGTACGCTGGTTGGACATCGTTTGAGGGAGGCTGAGGTAGTAGCTGCGTCTGTTGCTCCGTCACTCGTAGAAATGTCTCGTATTGTGGATATCTTCGAGGTAGTGTGGAAGGAAATGTTAAAAGTCTGGCAAAGCTTGGCGACGAGACGCAACCCGCTTCGCACCTCTCTCTCTGATTACTCAGGTACTACTAAGCTCTCGCGGCTGGGTCGCTGCCTCTTATACCCTCGGCTGCGCGGGGTCTCAATGGAAGGGGGCGGAGCCTATTTCCTTCACTTCGAGTTTCTCAATGAACGTGAGGCGGACCCTGGCGACGGCGCATGCGCACACCACTCACCACTACTGTTTACCTTCACCTGCGGCGTGACGCCTCACACACACACACACACACGCGATTTGCCACACATCTCGCGATTTGCCACTCCGTAACAAAATGCGACGGTTTGGACAAGACACAAACATAAAAAATCGCATTGCTAGAAATACCCACTTGCCCGTTCACCCATTGGGTATCTTAATGATGTATAGAATTCGATTCCATCTATCTATAAGAGAGAACTCTCCATCTACACGGACGAGATAACGTAGCAATTCTCCCCCCCCCCCCGTGACCCCTACATAACATATACGACGTGTTAGAACACAGTGAAGCGCCGCGACACTGACCTTCTCTATAAGGTTCACTCTCGACAGGTCGGTGGGATGATTCGGGTTCGCACGGTTCTGGTGAGGCAAAACAGTCGCATTATTTACGTTTGTGGTTAAGGAAAACAGTTGAGTTATTGACGTTTTTGGCCAGACGAAACAATTGCTAGTCGCGAGGAAATGGGGGGGGGGAGGGTCGAGGGGGGGGGGGAGGTGACAAAGTGGGGGGAGGGGGGGGGAGAACGTGTGCCCAAACATCTCAATCCTTCTGCAGGAGTCGAACCCGGGACCTTTCGGCTGTGACGGCGCTGCCCATATGTGTTGCACTATTTTCTGTTGTAGTATATGTAACACGGTCAATGTTTTTCCAGGTTGTTGTGGCGAGCTCCCTGTATGTTGAAGACTTGTTCCCCCCACCCCAACCCCTTCAACTGCCCCCGCCCCTACCCTACCCCTTTTAACTGCCCCCCACCCCTTCAACCCCCCTCTCTGCCCCCCTGTCAGAAAATGTAACCAATCAGACCTCTGCATCCCTATGGACCAATCAGAGGCGGCGACTTCCAGCACAAAGCCTGATTCAGCCAATGACGGGCGAGCATCTATAGCAACACGCCCCGAGGGCCCGCCCACACGCCCACACAGGCCGCCCACACGCCCACACAGGCCGCCCACACGCCCACACAGGCCGCCCACACGCCCACACAGGCCGCCCACGCCTCCTAACCCCTGTCCAGGCGCCTCCTGGTGCCGCTCTGACCTTCAAGTGCCGTAGTTGGACCAGGAGACTCTGGCGTCTTGCCTCTCTGGCACTCCTTGGTCGACCCCTCCTTGGCTTGGTCCACCCCTCCTTGGCTTGGTCCACCCCCTCCTTGGCTTGGTCCACCCCCTCCTTGGCTTGGTCCACCCCTCCTTGGCTTGGTCCACCCCTCCTTGGCTTGGTCCACCCCTCCTTGGCTTGGTCCACCCCCTCCTTGGCTTGGTCCACCCCCTCCTTGGCTTGGTCCACCCCTCCTTGGCTTGGTCGACCCCTCCTTGGCTTGGTCCACCCCTCCTTGGCTTGGTCCACCCCCTCCTTGGCTTGGTCCACCCCCTCCTTGGGTTGGTCCACCCCTCCTTGGCTTGGTCGACCCCTCCTTGGCTTGGTCGACCCCTCCTTGGCTTGGTCCACCCCTCCTTGGCTTGGTCCACCCCCTCCTTGGCTTGGTCCACCCCCTCCTTGGCTTGGTCCACCCCTCCTTGGCTTGGTCCACCCCTCCTTGGCTTGGTCCACCCCTCCTTGGCTTGGTCCACCCCTCCTTGGCTTGGTCCACCCCCTCCTTGGCTTGGTCCACCCCTCCTTGGCTTGGTCCACCCCTCCTTGGCTTAGTCCACCACCTCCTTGGCTTGGTCCACCCCTCCTTGGCTTGGTCCGCCCCCTCCTTGGCTTGGTCCACCACCTCCTTGGTTTGGTCCACCCCCTCCTTGGCTTGGTCCACCCCTCCTTGGCTTGGTCCACCCCTCCTTGGCTTGGTCCACCCGTCCTTGGATTGATCCACCCCTCCATGGCTTGGTCCACCCCTCCTTGGCTTGGTCCACCCGCCCTTGGCTTGGTCCACCCCTCCTTGGCTTGGTCCACCCCCTTCTTGGCTTGGTCCACCCCTTCTTGGCTTGGTCCACCCCTTCTTGGCTTGGTCCACCCCTCCTTGGCTTGGTCCACCCCTCCTTGGTATGGTCCACCCCTCCTTGGTTTGGTCCACCCATCCTTGGCTTGGTCCACCCCTTCTTGGCTTGGCCCACCCCCTTCTTGGCTTGGTCCACCCCCTTCTTGGCTTGGTCCACCCCTTCTTGGCTTGGTCCACCCCTCCTTGGCTTGGCCCACCCCCTTCTTGGCTTGGTCCACCCCCTTCTTGGCTTGGTCCACCCCTTCTTGGCTTGGTCCACCCCTCCTTGGCTTGGTCCACCCCTCCTTGGCATGGTCCACCCCTCCTGGGCTTGGTCCACAATTCCTTGGCTTGGTCCACCCCTCCTTGGTATGGTCAACCCCTCCTTGGCTTGGTCCACCCCCTCCTTGGTATGGTCCACCCCTCCTTGGCTTGGTCCACCCCCTCCTTGGCTTGGTCCACCCCTCCATGGTTTGGTCCACCCCCTCCTTGGCTTGGTCCACCCCTCCTTGGCTTGGTCCACCCCTCCTTGGCATGGTCCACCCCTCCTTGGTATGGTCCACCCCTCCTTGGCTTGGTCCACCCCCTTCTTGGCTTGGTCCACCCCTCCTTGGCTTGGCCCACCCCCTTCTTGGCTTGGTCCACCCCCTTCTTGGCTTGGTCCACCCCTCCTTGGTTTGGTGCACCCCTCCTTGGCTTCGTCCACCCCTCCTTGGCTTGGTCCACCCCTTCTTTGGCTTGGTCCACCCCCTCCTTGGCTTGGTCCACCCCTCATTGGCTTGGTCCACCCCTCCTTGGCTTGGTCCACCCCTCCTTGGCTTGGTCCACCCCCTCCTTGGCTTGGTCCACCCATCCTTGGCTTGGTCCACCTCTCCTTGGCTTGGTCCACCCCTCCTTGGCATGGTCCACCCCTCCTTGGCTTGGTCCACAATTCCTTGGCTAGGTCCACCCCTCCTTGGTATGGTCAACCCCTCCTTGGCATGGTCCACCCCTCCTTGGCTTGGTCCACACCCTCCTTGGTATGGTCCACCTTTCCTTGGCTTGGTCCACCCCCCTCCTTGGCTTGGTCCACCCCTCATGGTTTGGTCCACCCCATCATTGGCTTGGTCCACCCCTCCTTGGCTTGGTCCACCCCTCCTTGGCATGGTCCACCCCTTCTTGGCTTGGTCCACCTCTCCTTGGCTAGGTCCACCCCTCCTTGGTATGGTCAACCCCTCCTTGGCATGGTCCACCCCTCCATGGCTTGGTCCACCCCCTCCTTGGTATGGTCCACCTTTCCTTGGCTTGGTCCACCCCCTCCTTGGCTTGGTCCACACCTCATGGTTTGGTCCACCCCCTTATTGGCTTGGTCCACCCCTCCTTGGCTTGGTCCACCCCTCCTTGGCATGGTCCACCCCTTCTTGGCTTGGTCCACCTCTCCTTGGCTTGGTCCACCCCTCCTTGGCATGGTCCACCCCTCCATGGTTTGGGCCACCCCCTCCTTGGCATGGTCCACCCCTCCTTGGCTTGGTCCACCCCTCCTTGGCATGGTCCACCCCTCCTTGGCTTGGTCCACCTCTCCTTGGCTTGGTCCACCCCTCCTTGGCTTGGTCCACCCCACCTTGGCTTGGTCCACTCCTCCTTGGCTTGGTCCACCCCTCCTTGGCTTGGTCCACCCCTTCTTTGGCTTGGTCCACCCCTTCTTTGGTTTGGTCCACCCCTCCTTGGCATGGTCCACCCCACCTTGGCTTGGTCCACCCCTCATTGGCTTCGTCCACCCCTCCTTGACTTGGTCCACCCCTTCTTTGGCTTGGTCCACCCCCTCCTTGGTATGGTCCGCCTTTCCTTGGCATGGTCCACCCCTCCTTGGCTTGGTCCACAATTCCTTGGCTAGGTCCACCCCTCCTTGGTATGGTCAACCCCTCCTTGGCATGGTCCACCCCTCCTTGGCTTGGTCCACCCCCTCCTTGGTATGGTCCACCTTTCCTTGGCTTGGTCCAACCCCCTCTTTGGCTTGGTCCAACCCCCTCTTTGGCTTGGTCCACCCCTCATGGTTTGGTCCACCCCCTCATTGGCTTGGTCCACCCCTCCTTGGCTTGGTCCACCCCTCCTTGGCATGGTCCACCCCTTCTTGGCTTGGTCCACCTCTCCTTGGCTTGGTCCACCCCTCCTTGGCATGGTCCACCCCTCCATGGTTTGGTCCACCCCCTCCTTGGCTTGGTTCACCCCTCCTTCATGGTCCACCCCACCTTGGCTTGGTCCACTCCCTCCTTGGTTTGGTCCACCCCTCCTTGGCTTCGTCCACCCCTCCTTGGCTTGGTCCACCCCTTCTTTGGCTTGGTCCACCCTCTCCTTGACTTGGTCCACCCACTCCATGGCTTGGTCCACCCTCTCCTTGGTTTAGTCCAGCCCTCCTTGGCTTGGTCCACCCATCCTTGGTTTGGTCCACCCCCTCCCAGCACCACAAGCCTCGCTGGGGGAGGCTTGTGGTGCTCGCTGGGGGAGGCTTGTGGTGCTCGCTGGGGGAGGCTTGGGGTGCTCGCTGGGGGAGGCTTGGGGTGCTCGCTGGGGGAGGCTTGGGATGCACGCTGGGGGAGGCTTGGGGTGCACGCTGGGGGGGTGGCTTGGGGTGTTCGCTGGGGGAGGCTTGTGGTGCTCGCTGGGGGAGGCTTGGGGTGCTCGCTGGGGGAGGCTTGGGGTGCTCGCTGGGTCAGGGTTGTGGTGCTTGCTGGGGGAGGCTTGGGGTGCACGCTGGGGGAGGCTTGGGGTGCTCACTGGGGGAGGGTTGTGGTGCTCGCTGGGGGAGGCTTGGGGTGCTCGCTGGAGGAGGCTTGGGGTGCTCGCTGGGGGAGGGTTGTGGTGCTCGCTGGGGGAGGCTTGGGGTGCACGCTGGGGGAGGCTTGGGGTGCTCG